CTTACTTACTTGCTTACTTACTTACTTACTTACTTGGTTGGAGAATAGGCATCATTGCAGGCGGCACAATGCCATAGCTGCTCCTCCCTCCTCTCCAGGATCCTTGAAAAAGTCTGCCTGCTGATCGTGCCAGTTAACAGCTGATTAGATAAAATTCTTCTGACCTTTCCACGCAGGTTGCTGTCTCTCCCATTTCTTCATTTCTCTTCATTTCCTTTGCTTCTAAGTAGTATAAAACATAAAAAAGAAAACGTTAACATTAAGCAAATTACTGTTGGTTTATCTAGTTCATTAGACAGACTACCCGGGCTCAGAAATAAGACATCTGAAAGCTTATCTTTAGGAAAGTAATTCTCTGATTCATAAGACGCGGAGCAAGTAAATCGGATGGGTAGTGTGGGGGGAAATGGGAGGGTGGGGAGGGGGGGGTGGTTGAAAAAAAACGGGGGCAAATCGACAATTGTACAACAATTGTTCACTTTTCAGTACAAGGGGGCTATCCCGAAAAATGCTGTTTTTGACAAAAACGAAGGTAAGGTTTTTGGACCATTGTTCAGTTTCTTTAAAAGACAAGACGTGTTTTCTCTAAAATCAAACAATTAATGTACACACCAATGAAACCAAACTTCTCCTATAAATAGGGGAATGCCCATTTTTGGGTATTGGTCAAGATTTCTGGAAACCCTCGAACTCTGAGTTTGCCCGCTTGTCCTTAAAAGCGACCATTTTTAGCGCCATTCACACATGGGTTATCTCGCTAACCTTGAAACTCCCCTCTCCTCCACCCCATTCCCTATCCTCCACTCAATTACCTCTCCCTAGCACACCCTAATGTTTGCAAACGAACACATTTTAATCTTCATTGGGAGGCAACACGGCAAGCTTAGAGGTAATCATTGGCTCATTAACTAGCTGATGGGGACGCCTTTATTTGCGCTCAGCGCCTCGTAATATCTAATGTTGGGAGATCCTCGAGCTACACGATTTATTCTGTTCGTGTTTTATGATGACGATGATGATGATGGTGATGGTGATGGTGATGATAATAATAATAATAATG